TTTATATAAAGATAAATCTTCTCATGTTTTTAAGCATCTAGCTTCTTCTTCTAGTTGTAAAAATGCTGTATCTTCAGATTGCTTTGAAATTTTAGACACTGCAATTAATGGTTATGAGCTAAAAATAAAAGAAGCTCTTTTTATCAATCATTTTAAACATGAACTTAATACTCAGGTCAAACACTATAATACCACTATCCACTTGTAATCTCATCTCTTGTTTTAGTTTACTTTTGACCGTTGTAATTTAATCATATTATCTATTACTACTATATAACTGATTGTAAAATGTAATTACATTCAAACTGAAGATGGCTTTATGAAAGTCGAAACATGTCTTTGAAATTTAAAAGTGTTGTGTTATTTTTAAAAATTATTGCATCACTTGTGCTTTTACGCTCACTCCTACATTTCAGTGTTGCGTCTTTGAGTTATGAAGGTTCAATCGTACAATATGTTAATGAAAATGACGTCAAAGAAGACTTCATTWGATATACGAACTTAGCAGTAGTCGCTTAAAAATTGTTTCATGGCATTAAATTTTTCGTATGCAATGTAGGGAATAACCCTATTACCAGATGGCGTTCABGAAAACATTTTTGAGCGACTGTTTCAAAGTTCGTATATTTAATGAAGCCTCCCTTGACGTCATTATCATTAGCATATTGGAAGATTAATTAAACCTTCAAAACTCAAAGACGCAACACTGAAATGCAGAAATATTTCACCATTCAATCATTAACTTTTATATAGAATCAGCTCACAGAGAATCAGAAATTATTTTTTCAGTCGCCATAGGCACTTTAAGGAGAAATAAAAATATACCATTAAGTCATAACCACACGTGATATCCATCTCCCCATTTTAAATCAAAGTTTTTGGGTTGTTGGGTGCCAGGATCATGGTCACGTGATCACYSTACCTCAAAATTTTTCATCTGGAAATCTTAAGGGTGTCGTGTTACATGCTCATGTCAATYTTTGCAATGTTTGAAGCGAAAACGACTACAGGACAAAAATGTTTTGATTTTAAAACCCAGCAAAGAAATCCCAGGCCTTAACATGCTTGAGTAAGGYGTTTATTAATTGATTTTTGGACCCTCAGGGGAAACCCATTCCAGTACATAAATTTCTTGAGCTTCGAAACTTGCTGATTAAATAAATTGGCGTACACAGATTTTATATGGGCACGAGAAAACAACGCATTAATCCAAGCAGTCTTGAAAGCGCCATGGGGCAAAACTATCAAAGAAAATATATTGTCCTGAATGASTGTCCTTGTAGTATAGGTCAGTGATGTTTCTATTTATAGATAGGTCCAGGAAATGGACATTGTTGTCAGTAAACTTATCTACAGTAAAACGTAACTTGTTCTTATGTTCTTATGAGTTAAGTTTACCTAGTACTTTGTATTCCTAACTCCAGACTCGTTTTCCTTAATCCAAAACTTGGGTTCCTAAAACAATGTTTTCCTTCCTCGGAATTATAATCATCTCTGTGTTTATAACACCAGAACTTTAAAGTTAGAACGCATAAAACGTACAGTGTAGAACGCCTTCCCTACAAAGCATAAAACGCATGGACCACGTGGAACGCTAAGAACGCATTCACGTCAAAAACGTTTAGAATGCCTAAAACGCTTAGAACGCATAGAACCTACAGAGCGTTTAGAAAACGTAGAACTTTTAGAACGCTTAGAACACATACTGGAAAGCGTCAAGAACGTATATAGAACGTAAAGAAAGCAGAGAACAAATAGAGCGTCAAGAACTCTTGAACTCATATAACTGGCTGTAGTATGTATTATGATGCACCTAAARAACATTCAGCCAATTGTTATCGTCAGTGCAACACGTGATGCGCAAAAAATACAAAAACGCAATTGTATTTCAAGTCAACTTTACAACTTATAAAAGAGTATATAGGACACAAAAAATTAAAAAAACAACAACAAAATAGTTTATTGATATATTTATTGAGTATTTGATACTTTGTTGACAGTTTAATTCCAATTAGGAAGTTAATATTTGTAAAAATATTAACAAAAAAAGCACACACACACACACACACACACAAAATTAAAACAAAAGTATAAAAAAATCGATCGACCGATTCTTACACTGAAAAAATTCTGTGGTTCTCTATAATATTCGCGTAAAAAGCCGTGTTTTATGCACTTTTGGTCAGAGAAATATTATAAGACACAGATGTTAGAAACAATGCCTCCACAAACATTATTGTCCGCCATTACCATTCTGATGAAGAGACCGCGTTGCCATGGAGACAAAGGCTCTACAATCTCATTGGTCGAGAGGCTTGTTTTGATGTGACGTAGGGTGGTGAGAAAATTGGCATTCAGGTTATTCCATACTAAGGTTCAGTGACCACGAACAAAGCATTGGACCGAGGCATCAAGGTACACTGAGCATAAAAGAATAGAAAAGATCGGTGCTCAGTGTTCGTTGACGCCTCGGTGCAATGCTTTGTTCGTGGTCACTGGACCTGCGTATGGTAAGTCGTGAATACCTTTCTGGACTTTTTCGTTGAAAGTTATTGGCTTTGCCCACCTCTGTATCTTAGCAGCAGGGTCCTACAATCATAGACAATATACATTTGGACACGATAAACTCTTAGTCTACTTAACACACATTCTTTGTTTTCTAATGAAGACACAACCTTACAGTCCCTCCCCCAACCCCCCTGACATTGTCGTGTTGTCAAATTGTGACGGTAACATTTTGAAATTTTCAGCGTAAAATGTCTAGGGTTGTAGGAACCCTTTTGTCTCCCTTTTGGAGAAAGCTCATTTTGGCCATTTCTATGTCCTGTCGATGTACACATCATTAGATTCATCATAGATTAGCAAACTATATTTATTGCTACCAAATCTAATGTCTTAATTTCTTTCAAAAAAGCATTTGATCAACCTTCGATGGGAAAATTTARTTCACATCATTTTTCGCTTCTGATTCCGTTTGTTGCTTGTCTTCGGATATCATATATATATATTGCATCGTATGCTGTAAAAAGGGTGAGCGTTCGACCCCGGCGCCTTTGCAACCTTTCATTTAAACGTACAGCTGGTATTGGAGAATTTAGCGTTTGATTGAAAACAAAAAACAAAAACAGAATGCTCAAATTGAAGTCGCATTTCTTCCCTACTACTCGCTTTGGAGACTTAGGTAAAAAGTAAATCTCCGCTCGAGCGGGCAGAGCAACTTATTCGATGTTTAACACTGTCACACGAAAATGAATCCATCCAATTATGTCTCGTAAGGTAGCAGTATTAAATGTGCGGTAACAGTTTCCCACTCATACCAAATCCATCCCATTACGTTGCATTTTTTATTTTCAAACATAGCTGGACAAAAGCCCAAAATATAAGTCGAGTTTCCATGGCCCTATCAGCTAGACAGGAGATGTTAGGACCTTCAAGTTCTATGTATCAAGCAACATAATCTGACAAGTTATATTTTGACATTTTTGTTCGCAAATTGGGTTTTATGTACAAACAACTACAAAGGCCAAGGCAAATTTTGGGCRGGGCATAAATCATACGGTGATCATTTTTCGGTATTGTTGTAGTTAAGGTCTGATTGGAATAAATTAAGTGATTTTCTGAATGAAACTGTAAATCATCCTGTGCGTGTTTCGCTTATAAAAATCAGATAAAACGTGAATTCAAGAATAATTAGTATCGAGTACTTATTTAATACTCCAATTTCGAGTTCTGGATTGCTCTGTGTTAGCCTCAAACCCAAGTAAAATATTCTTTTGTTTTATTAATAGCCCGAKAAAATGCATGGAATTTGTGAAGAAAAACAATAAAATTGATTTGAAATCTCACACATTTATTCTCACAATTAGGAATATTTTGCGCACAAATGAGGCTAACACAGAGCAGTGGAGAATTCGAAACTGGATTATCCCCCCATCCCCCCGATAAAGGCCGTTAAAGCACTTGAGATATACGGGATTTTCTTTCCTGCAAAAGGTCGTGAAGAGTTTCCTGGGGAACATTCCTAGGGTCTATCCCACCCGATGATTTAACAAAAATATTTCTGAATGTATTATAACTTTGCTGGCAACCACTTGTGACTTACAGCTGGCTGGGACATAAGAACAGATATATTTCTCACGGGAACCCATTGGCCCCTCTTGATTAGTTTTTCCTCAGGCTCGAGTTGACAGTTTGGCACCTGGAAATACAGCGGTGCAAAGACCRGAAACATAAATATAAAACCAGTTCAGGAACACTACACTTCAATAACTAAAAYGAATACAACAGGCGTTTCATACCATCGATTCTTCAAAAACCTGAATTTCACTCAATATTCAAATCAGCTTGTCGTCACATGTGCTGGACCAATGCCATGTTGGTGAGAGTTTTTTTTATATTTTGTTGTATAAATTTTGTAATTTTGTTCTGGAGATAAACTGCCCAAAATTGCACACCTTAACAACAGTACAGGATGCCTCCTTTAGAGGCATTTCTCGTCCTTTGTTTTTTGGCAGTTTACAAGACTTATGTGTTTGGACAGTTTTTATCATTTCCTTTTGAAATCGTCGATAACTCTTTCCTCAATTTTTTCAATGCTACCAATGTGACGCAGACAACGAAACAAGTCGCCACGAAAATGAACTGCCTTGAAGACTGCGTTGGAATACCTTGGTGTTTCTCCATAAACTTTAAGAAGTCAGCTGAAGAAAGTGGCCTTCATMTTTGTGAATTTCTCYCATCTGATGYCTTCAGTAACGARCAACATTTGCAGGAAAATAAAGGGTATATTCACTACAGCGTAAAGGTAAAMAGGAAAGGCTTGGATGTATGTATTTTTTTGGTCTATACAAAACGCTCCTTTTTTCAAAGTATATACGTTTCATTTTAGACATATTATTGATGGTACTGCTTTTNTTTTTTTTATATTTTGTTGTATAAATTTTGTAATTTTGTTCTGGAGATAAACTGCCCAAAATTGCACACCTTAACAACAGTACAGGATGCCTCCTTTAGAGGCATTTCTCGTCCTTTGTTTTTTGGCAGTTTACAAGACTTATGTGTTTGGACACTTTTTATCATTTCCTTTTGAAATCGTCGATAACTCTTTCCTCAATTTTTCGAGTGCTACCAATGTGACGCAGACAACGAAACAAGTCGCCACGAAAATGAACTGCCTTGAAGACTGCATTGGAATACCTTGGTGTTTCTCCATAAACTTTAAGAAGTCAGCTGAAGAAAGTGGCCTTCATATTTGTGAATTTCTCCCATCTGATGCCTTCAGTAACGAGCAACATTTGCAGGAAAATAAAGGGTATATTCACTACAGCGTAAAGGTAAAAAGGAAAAGCTTGGATGTATGTATTTTTTTGGTCTATACAAAACGCTCCTTTTTTCAAAGTATATATCCGTTTCATTTTAGACATATTATTGATGGTACTGCTTTTTCCTTTTGTATTTTGTGTTTAAATCATTAGATTAGCGCAGTTTTGCTTGCATWAAAATCATAGCATTTAATTTTTTTCACAATTGGCAAAATTTCATTCTATTATGATTTTCGAATAAATTTATGTTTGACTGTCTTTATGTTTCAATCTGAYATGACAGTCCATGCTTAATGCTCAATGCTAAGAGGGGCGTATCTAGCATTTTTTTTTTCGGACTAGTTTCCAACTTGTAAAATGTTGTATTGACATATGCTAATTAATAAAAATACATGATTTTTTATATTATAACAGGTTACATTGACATTATAAAGCTAAACAAAAATATATATCGCCGAAAGAAACCAAATGCTCATTTATATAAAAAAATAATGCGATTCTAGTAAATACACAAAACGCGTTAGATTGAACAGAAGCTACCGACGCGAATTCCAGAAATTATATTGATCAGTCGTATTTTTATTTTCAATTTGTAACTGTGAAATCAGTAAATTATTTGTTTCAACTGCTTGCATTCCTTTGAATTATCTGAAGTCGAATCTACGGTATATAGGGTAGCAGTACCTGATAATTCATTTTGTTTTTATTACAGTACCAAGCACGAAGAATGTTCACATGAAGTCGATTCAGTTCCAATTAATGTATGGAAACTTCCTTGAACGGTTTTAAGAGTTGTTTGACCATATTCCGACACAAAATTAACCGATTTAAACAGTATTGTTAGTAGCTCTGGCCTCGATCTTTTTTCGATTTGCTTGGTTTTGTCATAGCTAGCTAATTATTTTGAGCAATTGACTCTCAAAATCTTGATGGTTTGAATTGTTGTTATTCCCCTTCCTCTTTCTATATATAGTGATAAAATGAAGGTCGAAGTTATATATACAAGGGCATGATCAAGACAACAAAACCATCATAGTATTCATATTCCTTTTTTTACATTTTTATTTTTCTAACACAGCATCCATGCAAGTCCAACTCTCCAATTTGCCTCAATGGAGCCACCTGTACGTTCCATAGTAACAAAATGGACTATCACTGTATTTGTAAAGCAGGCTACTACGGTAAACAGTGCGAAAATGGTGCGTAATAATTAAAAGTCCCACGCGCATCCGTGGACCTTTGCGATAGTTTGTTTCGCTTAACGAATGATTCGCTGACTCGCAATAAAGCAATGACATCTGACATTAGCTTCCGAAAGCATTGGACTATAGTAAAAAACCTGTAAAAACCTGGTCTCCTCTTTTTTAAAACTAGTTTTGCACGCTTCACTTCATATATCTTATGCATAGAGGTTATTTATGAATGTTCTAGTACCTTTCTTTTTACTACTCAGATTTGGATGAGTGCAATGTAACCCAATCAACGCCTACTATTTGCCACAGCAATGCAACTTGCAAAAACATACCTGGATCTTATATGTGCCTGTGTAGCCCTGGTTACCAAGGTGATGGTAAAAGCAATTGTTCTGGTAAGTGTAATCATTTTCTGAATTGTGCTTCACTATTTCAAATGGACTCATTCAGTATATTCCTTCTTTTACGACGTCAGCATATGTAATATGAGATTGACATTCGAAGAAATATTTTTAGTGCATGCAAACTCTTTACGGTTTCGATTCGAAATAATTAAAAGACCATTAATTAAATAAAGAACAATCAATATTCCAAATTACATATTTGTTACTAAAATGTTTTCAGATATCGACGAATGTGCTACAAAAACACATGGCTGCGATTCTGATGATGGYTGTGAAAACACTGTAGGCTCCTATAAATGTAGATGTAATATCGGGCGATTCTTCAATGGATCGACCTGTGTCAACTTCGCATGGGGTGAGTTCCGTTCTACGTAATGTAATAGGTCATTTGCAGCTGGGAGTCACGTAACTACGACTGCCTTAAATCAATCAGCAATGACAAAATGATGCTCAGAAATGGAAGGAGGGAATCATAATAAGTAAGAATTTAATTTCACTTTGAAAAAGCAAATGTCCAAAAGGCAGCTCGTGGTTCCATGTGAGATATAAGTTTCGAAATGCCTCAGCAAGAGGACATACAACTAAAAACCATGTGTATATTGTTAAATATATAGCATGAAATGTGATTTTTATTGTTGTCAGATTCACCATGCTCAAACTACACAAACATCACCGATTCTACCCGACTAACARCACACGGGGTCTACCCAAAGAAATGTGATAATAACATTGAAGTAAAATGGTACAGATTTTCAGGGACAGGAGGGGTTCGTATGCCCACGTGGTGCGTTTCAATCTATCGMTGCAGCACGGTAGGGTCTGGTTGGCTGAGCCAGCCTCATCCGAAAGTTGCAGATGGAATAGTCTCCAAGAAAGTGTGCTTCAATTATAACAGATGTTGTAAAYATGAGCAATCGATCAGAGTACAAAACTGTCATCATTTTTATGTGTACGAGTTTAAACCACTACAAATGTGTTCTATGCGCTATTGCAGCACTAATTAAAGCGGAATATTCCACCAGGGGAATGAATGGGCATCTGGAATAATGGTTAGCACTAGCTATACGTTCCCTACGTTSCGTCCGAACTTTAGACCTTTACAACAACCTCAAACATACCAAATTATACATTTAGAATACATGCCTTCACAATTTTGGTGAACCAATGGGGCACTAGAATTTGGTTACAGTACGWTTACGGTCACAGTACAGTACCGTCCGTTTCTCACTCATACGAAATCCGCTCTATAAAACAGMCGTGTTTTATGTAGTTTTGGTCAGAGAAATAATATAAGACGCCGATCTCAGAAACAATGCCTCGACAAACAACGAATCAACGCAATGTTTGAAAAACATCTATATATAGGAAGTCACGCTATCTTAATCAGTAGGAAGGTTTTTATCTATTAAACAAGAACGTTGTTTAACCGTTTCTAGATCGCTTTCTATTAGGCGGGCATTTCTAGTTGAGGACATTTTTTTCCGTTTCCCAAGGGATTCCGCTTACAGGAGATTCTACTGTACATCATTTACAAGGATTCTTTGAACCAACCAGGATTACGAAAATACTCAGTCTTTGCATTCTTGATGTTATTTTAACCTCGGAAAATCTACGAGTCAGTGGAGTTATTCACCGGCCTATCAGCGACCACTCGATCGTCTCTGTGAAACTTAAAATCAAGTCACAGAAACCTGATCATTACTCAGTAGTTTATAATGAGAATATTATGCATTGATACAAAATTGATATAGACCCCTTGCAGTTTGTKGGAATGCAGCTCCAACTGGAGGAAAAATGAATAGATTCTAGTTCCCATGAGGGCAAAAATCTTTTGTTTTGTCCTCAAGATGAATTAAAGCTGCTTTGACGTCACATGCAAGGAGTTTATATGTACATATATATTTATTTGATAATTACTATGCTATTTATTGTAGAGTGGTTTTCATAAACCCGTGAAATACACTTTAGCTTAATACACTTTATTACACCCTAATACCATTGTTTTCTTTTGTTGTCATCTGACTATTACACTAATAGTTTTTGTTTCACGGGTTTATGAAAACCACTCTAAATTAGGATTTTAGTATTAATTATTATTATATTATTGTAAATAGTTATTGAAAAGCCTGTTAAGGAATAACCATTAAAGATGATTCATTCTTTCAAGGATTCCAGACTAATTCSTATACTTGCAGTAAAAACACTTACTTTATTCTAACAAATGAAACGTAACGATGGTGATATGATTCCAAACGATAAACTTAAGGCTTTCAAATTCCTTTTCAAATCTGACAACCTCGCTGTTGTTGCCATTAATTTCGCCAAGTGCTCGTACATATATTGAACTCATCAATATCTTTATTTTTTTCTATCTCGAAGTAGTTTGAGAAGGTTCAATACTAACATAAATACACAAATAAAGGCTGGTTAGAACGTGAAATTACAAATATTTTAACTACAAAACGATTACAAACGAAATTCAACTTACGTTATGACGGTACGGCGAACAAGTAGGCATTGACTAATTACACAATCTATCGAATACAGAACGCTGAAAACGAATTCATTGCAAAGCCTATGGGAAAACGAGCACAAAGGAAACTATACACTAAATGCAAAGACTGCTAAGTACAATAATATTGTAACGGACCGAGAAACGGCTAGTAAATACACAGTATTGACTCGTTGAAGGACCTTTAATGCTCATAGCAAGACTGCTAGAAGTGAACTGATTATTTGTTACAATCGTGCTCTATTTATGTACAATTCTACGTCTAATTTAGTTACATTTGTAATCATTACGTATTCGCGCGTAGGCTAGTCTAACCCAAGATTTACGCAAGGGAAGTTACGAAATTACGTACTAGAATAACGGAGAACAACATTACGGACTATCCCGAAATCAGATACTTGAGTTACGTAAGTCAACAAAGGAGTGTCTGTGACGTTGCGTATGTCACGGAAAGGTCACGTACTCTAGCTTCGCTACA